ATCTCCCGGACGAGCCTCTGGAAGGGCAGTTTCCGGATCAGCAATTCCGTGGATTTCTGGTAGCGCCGGATCTCCCTCAGGGCCACCGTGCCCGGCCTGGGGACACAGCGGGGTCACCCACGCGGGTTTGGGGGGAAAAAGGGCCTTTTTGGGGCCGGGTGGGCTCGTGTCACCCCCCCGTGTCCCTGAGAGCCCCTTGTCCCCTCAGTGTCCCCTCAGTGTCCCCTCAGTGTCCCCCCCTTGTCCCCTCAGTGTCCCCTCAGTGTCCCCTCAGTGTCCCTTCAGTGTCCCCTCAGTGCCCCCCCTTGTCCCCTCAGTGTCCCCCCTCAGTGTCCCCTTCAGTGTCCCCCCAGTGTCCCCTCAGTGTCCCCCCCGTGTCCCCTCAGTGTCCCCCCTCACCTGTAGCGATGCGGCTTCTTGACCCCCCCCGTGGAGGGTGCGCTTTTCCGGGCCGCTTTCGTGGCCAGCTGCTTCCTCGGCGCCTTCCCGCCGGTGGATTTCCGAGCCGTCTGCTTGGTGCGGGCCATCCCGGGCCGTCACAGCCTGGAAAAAAGGGGGGAAAACCGGGAAAAACGGGGAAAAAACGAGGGGGTTTGGGGGGGGGGGGGGAAGGGCGCGACCCCCTCCCGGGGGCCCAGCGCCTACAACTCCCATGAGCCCTCTGCGCCGAGACACGTGACGGCAAACGCAGCGTCTGATTGGCCGAACGCGTTGCGCCGGACTACAACTCCCAGAAGCCCCCGCGCCGCACCCGGTGATTGGCCGGGGCGGTGCCGCTCACTCCCCGCTTTGATTGACGTGTCTTTCAGCCAATCGCGTCGCGGCTAGGCAGCCAATCAGCGCCTCGCAAAGCACGGAAGGCGGGGCCACGAAGCGTCTCCTCAGGCGACCCCGGGCCGCCCCCCCCCCCCCCCCCCCCCCCCCTCCCCGGTACTTCGCCCCAACCCCTCCCGGTACCGACCCCCGACGGCCGCCGCGCCCCCGGTACCTGCGAGCGGCGCTGGCGGCGGCGCTGGAGCCGTGGGGGTCCCGCGGTGCCGCTGCGGCTGCTTCGTTCTCCCCCTTCCCGCCTTTCCCGGCAGAAAATGGCGGGTCCCGGCTGAGGGCGGTTCCCGTCGTGCCCCGCGCGGGGGCGGGAAAAGGCGGGGGAGGGTCGTGCGAGGTGAGGGAGGCGCCGCCATCTTGGGCCTCCTGAGGGGCCCGCGGGCGCCGAGGCCTTCGCGGGGCTTCTCCCGCCTCGGGAGTCCAGAATTCCCTCCAATTCCCTCCAGTTCCCTCCAATTCCCTCCAATTCCTTCTCTCCGCGACTCCCTGGTGTTAGTTTCTAGGGTTGAAGCGAGGGGATGGAGTTTGGGGGAGCTCGGTGTGAGGTGAATTGATCCCACAAAAATCACCAAATAGCCAAGAAACCACTCAAATCCAGCTCCGGTTTCCACCACTTTATTCCCAAAAGGAATAATCCCGTCATTCCATCGTTCCATGATGTTGTTTTCCAGGGTCGAGGGAGTTTGAGAGAGCTCAGAATCACCCCCATCCCTCCCCACTCAGGTCCTTTTTCCCATTAAAAAAATAAATTGTTCCCCCCCAAAAAAATAATGAAAAAAAAAAAAAAAGCCCAAAACACACCCAAATCTGTCTCCGTTTTCCAACACTTTATTCCCAAAAAAACCACCAAGCCACAGAAGGCAACTGGAATGGGGGGATGGGGGGGAAAGCCAAAAAAAAAAAGAGGGAATAATGAAATCATCAGATAATTTCAGTGGTTTAAAGGCATTTTTTTTTTCCAATTTTTTCAGCCCAGTTCCGTGGGAGAATTCCCAAAAAAAAAAATTCTGGATTTGGCTGCAAACGGTGTCAGTGAAGGCAGTTGATGAAGAAAGGAAAGATTTTCAGAAGGGGGAAGGATTTGAGGGGGAAAAGAAGGATTTTGGGGACGTGGGGAAGGATTTGGGGGAAATAAAGGATTTTGGGGGACGGAGAGATTTGGGGGGGGTGGGGGGGGGGATTTTTGGGGGGGGGGGGGGGGGGTTTGGGGGGGGGTGGTGAAGGATTTCAGGTGGGATACGAAGGATTTTAGGGCCGAAAAAAAGAATTTTAGGGTTGAAGGGTTTTTGGGACAGTGAAGCATTTTGGGGTGGAATATGAAGGATTTTGGGACGGTGAAGCATTTTGGGGAGGAATACGAAGAATTTTAGGGTAGAATGAAGGATTTGGGGTGGGATAGGAAGGATTTTGGGGTGGGATGGGAACCATTCGATGCTTGAAACAAAACATCTGGGACACAACGAAGCCTTTTGGGGTGAAATGGGGCCTTTTGGGGTGAAATGGGGCCTTTTGGGGTAAAATGGAGCCTTTTGGGGGGAAATGGAGCCTTTTGGGGGGAAATGGAGCCTTTTGGGGTGAAATGGGGCCTTTTGGGGTGAAATGGGGCCTTTTGGGGTGAAATGGAGCCTTTTGGGGTG